AAAAAACTTCTTTTCATATTCCTAATGGCGATAGATTTCATGACCAATTTGGTTCGGACTCGCCTGAAAACTACTGGGGTTCGTTTCGGCAGTCATCATTTTCCTTGTTCAAAGAGAAAGACGAAAGTCTCATTGCCTTCATACTCAATGACTAAAAAGTTCCGATATCGCATTAGCTGAGATGACGATGTTGAAGAACGATGAAGTTTAAGCGAAGCGAAGATTTGCATAATTATAAGCATAATTAGTTCAATCTTGATAATTTTACTCAGAATTGTGGGTTTTATCTCACTGTTACTAAGTTAAAGTCTTATGAGAAGCTTACATGAGAATGAAACATGATGTCAAAAATCCAGGTAGTTATTGACACAACAAGCACGGCATGATTATTCAAACTTGTTTATTCTCGGATAACTGGGTCGTTACTACGCTCCCTAGCGATGCTTCACAATTACAGGAAGTGCGTTCCTTGCTGCACCTGCTGCAGTGCTTGTTAGAGGATTTGTGGTTGCAATGTTTTCGGTTCCCTAGGAAATTTGCCATGAATCATTTGAGCAGCTAATCCTTTCGGCTGACAACTGTAGCCTACCTACAGATTCTGTATCGAGTACCGGGATTTAAGTAAATGGTCATTTAGTGTAGGTGAAGATGCTCTGCTCTTGCCGAACGTTTCTGCAAACAACAGCAAGTTACTGATTAGTGAAGGCTTATTTACATTAGTGAAGCAAAAAGTGAATAGGGACTAAAGAGATAAGTAGCTTTTTTTTCAGAGTTCAACTTTACCTTAAATGGAAGGGTCAAATGCTTTTCTTTACCAAGCAGCTGAAAAATTGAATGTCTCAAGTAGATGGTTTTCTTGCTGTTTAATAAGTTAGCCAACTTCTTCTCTTTTAAAAGCTTTATTAACTCTGGAAATTACTAGGAGGTGCGCAGTTGTATTACAGCATTCTGAGTTGGACTCTTTCTAGCGTAACTCTTCAAAGACCGAATTCTTGTTCATGGAAAACCATAAAACTGCTTCATAGCTGTTACAAAGGTACTCATTCCAGTTGCGACGACACAGCAGTAGCCTTGGTACAGGATGATAAGAAAGTGCTATTTTCGAGAAGATTTGCTGACAGAGATACACAGCGAAGATTGGGCGGTATCTCCCCACGTGAAGTAGCCTTGCAGGTATGTATTTCTCTTTGAGTTTCGAATTTATGAGCAAAATCCAGTTGATTTCGCTCGCCGATACACACTTATTAAATCTCGATTTTATCCTTATTTTGCTAGTAAAAACTTTAACTGAGTGGCTAAAAACACTTCCATATCTGTGCTTTGTGTTTGCTTACACAACGGGCTCCACAAGTTTTTAAATGTTAGCGATCTTTCTACAATCATGTAGTGTAAAAGCTGTAAATGAAATTTTATTGTATTTATTTTAGCACAAGAAGCACCTACCTCGCTTGCTTGACGAGTGCTTTGGAGAAACGGGTCTAAAGGTGTCCGATGTTGATGCTATAGCAGTCACCACTAAACCAGGTCTCGTGATTGCCCTCAAAGAGGGAATACGGAAAGGTCTTGAACTATCCAGGTACTTTATGCTGACTTTACCTTGATATTGCTATCCTTATATAATTAAGGCTTTACAAGAAGGATTTTATTTCCGTACACCATATGCGAGCTCATGCATTGTCTGCATTTTTGGTTTGCGATTCCCTCTCATTTCCTTTCGTCGCTGTTTTGATCTCTGGCGGTCACGCTCTGCTTGTCTTGGTTCGTACGGCAGACGATTTTACTATATTCGGTAAACCAAGTTTCGTTGCATTCCGTTGAGTTACAATTTTCCTTTTTTTT